AAAGCACTGGAAAAACTCCCAGTTGTGTTGGTTCTTTGCAGCTTACATACCTGTGCCTCTAGGGCTTAGGTTGGTCATCCATCCCATCTTTTCATGTCTTCATGGTCACGTAGGTAAAACCACAGCTTGGCCCATGGTGTATACAGTCTCCCGTGAGCAGGGGAATGCTTTCTTCTAACCGCTGAGATATGGGACTGCACAGGTGGGGAGTAGGCCATATTTTCTCTAAATTGCTGGAACTCCTGGGACAGTGTCTCAGACAGTCTTTGAGGCAGTGTCTCGGACATTGTCTCAAACAGCTTCTCCACAGCTGAGATGTGGGCCCATGAGGGGACATTCTCTTCATTTCGCTGGAGTTGGGTACTCATGTCACTCACGGTGAAGTCTTCAACATCCAGTATTGCTAGTGAGTAAGAATATGATGGTGGTGCACTCCGTGGACCACATGGACCGTGTGCACCGGACTTCATCTGGATCTTCAGGTAACTGTGGGTTTCTTGGGTCCTAATAGATCACCTCCCACACAGTCAGTTCCCTCAGGTACTGGATAATACTCTCCATGTTGACCCACTTGCCTGGATTACATACAAACTCTTCCACTGTCTCACAGTGTCTAGGAGCCATCTCCAGAGGCTGCAAGCCCTTTGCTCTTGTCTAATTTCTTTATCAATGTCTCCTTCCCTAGCAAAACATGCCAGCCATTTAGCGTCTCTGCCTTCTAGAACCAGGGTATTGGGTCCACTATCCCAGCATCTGAGCAGCCAGGTGAGAATGGGCTCACCTTCCTCATGGCCATAATCTTGTTTAATGTCTTGCAGCTCACGCAGGGATAGAGATTGGGTGGTTACCATCTCATCTATGATTTCTCCCTCTTTAGCCTGTGCTCAAGATGGCCCTGCTCTGGAGGGGCCCGCCTCCTCACTGTCAGGGTCATAAGCTTCTTCCTCCTTTCCTACACCTGTTGACTTTTGTATTTTCTTCTTTTGTATAGGGGCAACTGATAATGGCAGAGACTCTGGGGTGCTGCTTGGTGAAGTTTGAGTAGTGACGGTTGTAGTAGCTGTGCTTGGTGCAGGGGTTAGAGTCACTGCCGCAGGCACCATGGTTGGATTTATCGTCATGAGAGCTGGAGTTGTCGAGGTTGAAGGCACTGGAGCTGAAGTTGCTGGCATTGGAGTCACTGCAGTGGGTGTTGCAGTTGGAGTCACCGTTGAAGGCACTGGGGCTGGAGTCGTAGTGGTGGATGCTGGGACTGGAGTCACTGAGGTTGAAATTGCTGCTACTGGTGCCACAATTGGAGCTGGTGCAGCAGGTGCCAGGGTTGAAGTTGTAGCCACAGGTGCCATGGTTGGAGTTGCTGTTGTGGGCACTGGAACTGGAGGTGTTGTGGAGTGCACTGGGGTTTGTGTAGTCGCAGCTGTAGTTTCTATGGAAGTTTGGGTAGCTACAATCTGTGTTGATGTAGCAAGTGCTGGAGTAGCTGTGGTGCATTTCTATGTAGTTGGGGTAGCAGTAACTGGTGCCAGAGCTTCAGTGGCAGCGGTGCATTGGCACTGAGCACAATTAGCAAGAGCTGTGGTCTTTGTGGCTGTAGAAGACACCAAGGTTGGAGTCACTGCAATGTCTGTTGCAGTGGTTGGTGTCTCTGCAATGTCAGCTGTGGGGGTGGTGGTGGCACCTGGGCTATTGCTGGTAATGCATTGAATGAATTGTTGATTAACTGTAACAATATATGTACATTGACATACATTCAGGACACCTAGCAAGAGGATAATGATGATTAAAATGCTTGTTTGAACATCCCAAGGGCATTCAGAATCCCCTAATATCACCTTTGAAAGTGGTGTGGAGAAGGGGACAGTACAGGGAGATGTCCCTGTCATGAATTGGCTCTCTAAGGGACACATGCAGCCATTGTAATTGCCAGCAATGTCCACCAGGTGGCGCTCAGAGTACAGAGATGAAGCTGTTAACGTTGCTTAGCTTGGTGCTAACCATTGTATAAACAAACAAGATTAAGCCTGATAACATTTTCATTCTACCACAGGCCAACAAACAAGAGCACAAAACAGTCCCCACCATGAGCAGCATCATAACCTTTGCCCAACTCCCATAAGTTACTAGCAGCACATAAATACTGAGAAATAGTATATATGGCAAGTACCACAATATTTCCCATACCAGCATCTCAGGGAACGTAATGCATGATTATCGGAAGGATGTTTCAATATACTCTGTTAAGTCTGTCTTTATCTCAACCACTTGAGCCCCACATTGGGTGTGAAAAAAGGACTGTGTGGGGTTTACCCTTGGCTGGGGTAAACCAACCCCACATAACCTGCTCTCACCATTTTCCCCCTCCCAGTCCAAAACACAGCCTCTTGCTAGCTACTATGAAGAAAGTTAACTCTGTTTCAGCTGAATCCAGGACAGGATCCTAGTACACATAATTATGCATGAAAACAGTGACATTAGCTCTGTCTCTCAACATAATCTTCTAATCCAATGTATTTGTTAAAAAGCCAAAGCTATTTAAAGCTTTTACTTGTACAAAACAGCCCAATTTAGTTTCAAGCTGCCCTCCAGTTTTATCTCAGATGAATAGCTGCTACACGTATTCACGACATAGCTTGCCATTTTATTTGTCTTTAAACATTTAATTTATGATACTGAAAAAAAAGTTTCTCCACTTCATCATGATTTCTCATAAGAGAAAACATTACATTGTCAACTTATGAAGGTAATCCACTGACCTTCTCATTTACACATCCCAGAGAAAGGAAGCCAGAGCTTGAACCAAGTCAAAGTGACTTTTTTCAGTCTTCAAGAAAAACCTATGACTGTGCCAAAATATGTTTTGACCCAAAAATCAAAAAGCAGTCCACTAGGCTTTGTTTACCCTTCCTGCTCTTCTGTATCAGTAAACACAGTGGTTCATCTGAAAGATTAATAACTACCTGTGCAGAAGTGAGTGTTAGTCTTCCAAGAAAAAAATGAAGATTTTACAGAGGATTTTTCTTCTTTGGTTTGTAGCAACATGGATAAAAGCTCCAGAAATTAGCCTGCCTGCCTTGAAGTATAAAAATAAGATGAATAAATGGAAAAATGTCTTTTTTTTTCCTTTACATATTACTAACAAGGTTCATTTTAGATTCAGTGCCTTGCTTTAATCAATGAAAACATCCATATTTTCAGTCAACTTTATTGATAAAATAAGTTTACTGTGCAGTACACAATTCTAGCCATAAATTCTTTTCAAGCCATCTGCATTACAAAAATAACAGGTATGAAATGAAAAAGTCACTCCACACACTGTGAAGGTTCTTTAAAATCCTAAAGTGATCAGGTTGGGGGAATGACACAGGAGATGTATCAAACGTGAAAACTAGGAGTAGATAAATTAAGTCACATTTTTTTAATTTACAAAAATAAACACTAATCAAGCATTATTTCATAATAGAGCAACCTTAAAGAACTGCCACAGACTAAGAACCTCTCTCTGCTCTGTAACTTTGGAGATTGTATTTGAAAGACAAACCAGGAAGTCAGCCATAAAACTGCATTCAGCATTAAATTAATATAAATGCCTGATACCAGCCAATGGCTGAAAAGACAATGCTGAAAAGAACAACTCGACCAACTGAACCCAAAATTTCTTTTAAGTTTGAAACAACAAACAAAACATGCCCTGAAGAAAAGATGTTGCTTCTGATATGTCACCAGCTTGCAAGCTACAGTAGAAATGCAAAATCTAAATTACAAAACTTTACAGATAATAGCAGAGAAGTAGTTTTTGTGCTTGAGCTAAAACATTCCCCCAAAAAATTCCCCCCAGATACTTAGCAAGTTTGGAAATGGTTAAATTTTTTTTTCCATGCAAATGAATGTCCTCAATATATTCCTAGGCCTAGAAACAAAGATACTCTGGACAGAAAAGCAGCAGTTTCTCTCTTAATAAAAAAAATACTGTGGTACCTTGAGCCTAGGGAAGTTGTACAGAGGCAAAGGAAGTTGTGTTTAAAACTGACACACTTAGAAGTGCTTGATGCTTAATTCTTTTTGCATTGTTGCAACTGAAAATCAAATTTGATTTAAATGACAGGTGATTTCAGAGCAGGAGTTAAACTCATTTTGCTAGGTGAGTTATGAAACAGCAAGAATATTCAACTGTGGGTAGCATTTGTAGATCTATTGTTTTCTGTGGTTGAAAGCTTTCACTCTGCTTCTTTGCATATGCATTCCAGGTAAAGAATATGTTAACATAGTGGACAAAAAGTGATGATACACATCAATAGTAGGAAAGTTCTTGCTGCATTGACCACAAAGTGGTAGTCTGACAAACAGAAGCCAAATATTAATTATTTCAGCACCTCTTTACTAGAAGCCTGTCTTGTGTAGCACTTCTGTCATATCTGCGTGTGACATAAGCTGCACTTTGTCCTAGAAAAGCCAATTTCTCTTCACTTCTGCAAGTAATTCAGGATTAAAAGCAAGAAGTCTATTTGTCAGTATAACATACTGAAACTTTTCGTGGTGCAAACATAACATGCACCCAAAACTTACTTAGAAACCTTCTTGATGACTATTTAGTACTTAAAGAAAAATTAAGAGTATTGATTGCAGGCATGCAGGCTTCCAACTTCGCCATAGAGCTTCTCCCTCCCTCCCCCAGCCACCTTTCTGCTGCTACTGTTTGGGTGCTTTCAAATTGCTGTTTGCCAGTCAGGAAGCTTGGGCAGGCAATCAAGAGAGAAACAGATGGGACTAATGTGGCTTCTTATCTGTAGACAACTGAGCCTGGTTTTCTCTCATAAAAGTTAAGGCAGAATGATACCATGCTACCTGTGTTCCTGAAAGCAATAAAGTGGGAGCAGCTCTTTTCATGTTTTGAAAATACAATTAAGTACATATTTTAAAGAATCTTTTTCATTTTAAAAAAATAAATATTGAACAACTGCAAAAGCATTGCTTATAAGGCTATAATATATATAAGGCTATCTTGGCCTTATATTTGAACAGGATACTCTGTGGCTAAATTACAGAAATCCTTAAGCTTTATGCTGCCTAAGTACCCTTTCCCTTAAACAGGTTTGTTGCAAAATTGTGATTTTTAAAAAACTTATTAAAAGGAAAAAATATAATGTGGATCATGCACAAAGCATATTCATAAGTTACTGCTTTTAGCCAGAGATCAAACTTTCAATCTTATCTTTATTATACAGTAGGTGCACTGAAACTTTGTATGAGCAATAATTTTATATAAATTATGTGAAGTCTTGTCTTTTATCTGTAAAATGTTTTAATATAAAAATAATTCCCAATTCAGTTCATTAATCCATTTCCTACTGAAGCTAGATCTATGGCAATTAATCTGTCCTTAAGGTTTTTGTAGAATACCAATTTTAATTTATTTGATGCAGTATAAAAGCCACTAAACTGGAGTTTAAGATGCATTAGCTTGCTGGTGCCCTATTCAGTAACAAGTGCTTGACAAGTGACCCCTGATACTCTGTTTGTAAAGTGTGCAATTGAAGCTTGTTGACTTCCACAGTCTTTAGCTTTTCCTCAGGCTCAAATCACTGCTTGTTACTAATCCTGACAGAGATGTACTCTCTGACGCATCTTCTTTCTTGAGGTTCAAAAATGATTCTCTAGTTATTTGAAGAATTTCTCTCAAGCCTTTGTTTTCTTGCTATAACCAGAGAAAGAAAAGGCACGTAATAGAACTCCAGGAAGAAGTCAAGATAACTATATTAATAATCTCCCCTCCCCTCTAATCCAAACACATGTATAAGGATTAAAATACTGATTTGCAGTCAAGTAGTGCTATGTTATCTTCTAAAATTAAGAATATTAGGTTTCTGACCCTCTTGCACTCTTGAAAGGATGTTAATCATAAAAAAAACCTCAAAACACACAGATGGGTAAGAAAAGGGTAATTAAGATCAAATGCTGCATTTAAAAAAAATAATATCCCATTCTTTCCATGCACCTTGTCCCATAATGAACTGCTTTGCTAGCACTTAATCAAAGAGCAGGTGTTGGCCCTCCAATAAGCAACCAAGAATCCCCCCCCAAAAGCACAAAATTATTATTAAAAAAAAAAAAAATTAAAAGCCAAAGGTGTGGGTATTACTATGTGCATCCTAGTGTCTTATTAGGATCAATTTGTATTATTTCCTAGCTGTTGGATGTCCTTGCAGAGACTTCAAAAAAGAGAAAGCTTAAGCCAGTATATAAACATAAATCTCTGATTTCTGGTGATGAATTATCACCTATGCAAGACTTGAGAGTAAGCCCTAGGGGGGAAAATAGTACTTACACTCCACCCAACAAAGTAGCACAGTGAGTGACTGATACAGTTACTCAAAAGAGATACAGTGACTCAATAGAAATAACTGTGATAACATTTACTCCTGTGCTATTTGTGCCATTGCTGTTTTGATTTTATCCTTACCTCAAGCTGAATGATACGCTCCTGCTCTTTGCAGCCATGCTTTTCATCAATTTCAATGGCTTTTCTCATTACTGCTGCCATTTCTGTAATTTGGTCCACATGCACTTGCAGCTCCTAAGACACAAAAATTAAATAATGACAGCTTTAGTAATATATTTTCTGCATTATTAAAAATAAGTAAAGCATTAAATGTGCATTTTGACTGTTGTGCCATTTAATAATGTGAGCACAGGCCTAAATCTGAGAAAACAAGTTATCTAGAACTTTACAGCATGAGCAGCCAGTGAGGTGCTGTTTATTTAAATAAATTTGGTTTGCCACAGCGATACCTTTTATTAGAATTTTATATATGCTTAAATGACTATGCCATGTGCTTGCTCTGACAAGGCCTTCCTGTGTTGCAGGAGCTGAGGTATCTAATTTTGGATATGCAGAAAGTCTAAACTAATCTAAGAACATCATGGTATGTGACATTCTTTCCACTTGTTTGAAACCTGATCCGAAGTCTGGTACAGCCAGTACCAGCCCATGGGTAGGCATTTATCTCTTGCAAAGACCAGATGAAGTGGTCACCCTTACTATGTCACACATCAGGAAACTCAGACCCTCTATAGAGATGGGTGCAGCCTCACGCTCATAAGCCCTAGTCCTCGTGGGTGACCTAAATCACCCTGATATCTGTTGGAGGAACAACACAGCAGGGCATAAGCAAGCCAGGAGGTTCCTGGAATGCACTGATGATAACTTCCTTCTCCAAGTGACAGAGGAGCCAACAAAGAAAGGTACTATACTGGACCTTGTTCTCACCAATGAGGAAGGGCCAGTGGGGAATGTGAAGCTCAAGGGTGGCCTTGGCTACCATGTCTGTAAAATGGTGGAGTTTTAAGATCCTTATGGCAGCAAGATGGGTGCACAGCAAACTCACTACCCTGAACTTCAGGAGAGCACACACTTTGGCCTCTTCAGGGATCTGCTTGGTATAGTGGGATAAAGCCCTGGAAGGAAGAGGGGCCCAAGAAAGCTGGTTATTATTCAAGGATCACCTCCTCCAAGCGCAGGAGCGATGCGTCCCAACAAAGAGGAATTCAGGCAAAAAGGCCAGGAGGCCTCTGTGGATGAACAAAGAACTCCTGGACAAACTCAAAAAAAGGAAGCATACAGAGAGTGGAAGCAAGGACAGGTAGCCTGGGAGGAATACAGAGAAATTGTCCGAGCAGCCAGGAATCAGGTTTGGAAAGCCCTGATAGAATTAAATCTGGCCAGGGATGTCAAGAGCAACAAGAAGAGCTTCTATAGGTACGTCAGTGATAGAGAAGACTACAGAAAATGTGGGCCCTCTCTGGAGGGAAACAGGAGAGCTCGCTACCCAGGATGTGGAGAAGGCTGAGGTACTCAGTGACTTTTTTTGCCTCATTCTACGCTGAGAAGCACTCAAGCTATACTGCCCAAGTCGCAGCAGGCAAAGGCAGGGACTGGGAGAATTAAGAACCTCCCACTGTAGGAGAAGATCAGGTTTGAGACCATCTAAAGAACCTGAAGGTGCACAAGTCCATGGGACCTGATGAAATGAATCCATGGGTCCTGAGGGAACTGGCAGATGAAGTTGCTAAGCCACCATCCATCGTATATGAGAAGTCATGGCAGTCTGGGGAAGTCCCTGCTGACTGGAAAAGGGGAAACATAACCCACATTTTTTAAAAGGGAAATAAGGAAGACCCTGGGAACTACAGTCTGGTCAGTCTCACCTCTGTGCTTGGCAAGATCATAGAGTAGATCCTCCAGGAAACTATGCTAAGGCATATGGAAATAAGGAGGTGATTGGTGACAGCCAACATGGCTTCACTAAGGGCAAATCATGCCTGACAAATTTGGTGGCCTTCTACAACAGGGTTACAGCATTGGTGGATAAGGGAAGAGCAACTGACCTCATCTACCTGGACTTGTGCAAAGCATTTGACGCTGTCCCGCACAACATCCTTGTATCTAAATTGGAAAGACATGGATTTGATGGATGGACCACTCAGTGGATAAGGAAGTGGCTGGATGGTCACACCCAAAGAGTTGTGGTCAATAGCTCAATGTCCAAGTGGAGACCAGTGACGAGTGGCGTTCCTCAGGGGTTGGTATTGGGACCGGTATTGTTTAATGGCTTTGTGGGAGATGTGGACAGTGGGATTGAGTGCACCCTCAGCAAGTTTGCCGACAATACCAAGCTGTGTGGTGTGGTTGACACACTGGAGGGAAGAGATGCCATCCAGAGGGGCCTTGACAGGCTTGAGAGGTGGGCCCATGCAAACCTCATGAAGTTCAACAAGGCCAAGTGCAAGGTCCTGCACATGGGTCAGGACAATCCCAAGCACAAATACAGGCTGGGAGGAGAATGGATTGAGAGCAGCCCTGAGGAGGACTTGGGGGTGGTGGTTGATGAGAAGCTCGGCATGACCCAGCAATGTGCGCCTGCAGCCCAGAAAGCCAACCATGTCCTGGGCTGCATCAAAAGAAGTGTGACCAGCAGGTTGAGGGAGGTGATTTTACCCCTCTACTCCACTTTCATGAGAACCCACCTGGAGTACTGCATCCAGCTCTGGGGCCCCCAACCTAAGAAGGCCATGGACCTGTTGGACAGAGTCCAGAGGATGGCCACAAAGATGATCAGAGGTTGTTCAGCCTGGAGAAGAGAAGGCTCCAGGGAGACCTTATAGCAGCCTTCCAATCCTTAAGGGGGGGTACAGGAGAGATGGGGAGGCACTCTTTATCAGGTACTGCAGTGAGAGGACAAGAGGTAACAGCTTTAAGCTGAAAGAGGGCAGATTTAGATTAGATATTAGTCATTTTTTCCTGTGAGGGTTGTGAGGCACTGGAACAGGTTGCTCAGAGAAGTTGTGGATGCCCCATCCCTGGAGGTGTTCAAGGCCAGGCTGGATGAGGTTGTGAGCAACCTGGGCTAGTGGAGGGTGTCCCTGCCCATGGCAGTGGGGTTGGAACTACATGATCTTTAAGTTCCGTTCCAACCCAAACCATTCTATGATTCTCTGATAAATGAAATTTCACAGTCCATTTCAGGACAGATATAATTTTACCCCCTTGTCGTGGTACTGCTGCGGCTGTAAGATATGTTATACTATATGCTAAGGTAACTTCTTTTGAAAAGGATTTATACCTTTAATTTTTTAGGAGTTTGTGTTATAGTTCTAATCCAGTAAATTCTTTCACACCAATCTAAGTAGTCCCATTGATTTCAATGGCAGTAATTGCATACATGTGATTTTGTAAGGAGACAAGAAAGCATCAAATTATTAAGCTTTGTTTTCCCAGCATGCAGACCTTAATTCTGCTTTGCAGACTTAGTTGCTGAGGTCACTTAGAACTAATGTTTGCCTACACAGTTAAACGGCTCTCTAATTATTACATTTAACATAAATGGAATATAATACTTTGTTAGAAAGCTCCTGTTTAGATCTCTTTCCTGAAAATACATTTTAAAAGCCTAAACTATATATTAATGCTATAAAAACAGGTTAATTTCATACAAAGCTGCTGAATACTTATATATACCTCACTCATGATGGTTTACAAATATGTTGCTTGATGGCACTTTGCTTTTCTAGTTTTCAAAAGCCATAAGATGAAGCACACCTAATTTGAGCAAATTTCACCACCCTTCAAGTGTCTCAGGCTGCCCTGGATTCTACTCAGCAATCCTGATCAGCACTGAAATGAGAACCAGGGGTCGAAGCAGGAAAGAGGAGAACTGTATGCTCAGTTATTCAATATTCAAAAGAGCTTTAAAATATATTTTTAAAATTTATGGTATTTAGTGAAAAATATTTGAATACTGAATTGAAAAAGCTTATTCCTCCTACTCTCCCCAGTCAGTACAGGTTTACCAATTATTTGTTGGAGTCACAGCATAAGTTAAAGCCAATCTAAATGTCTGAATGTTCTGAGATCTGTGGGGATCTGGAAGTATAATAGGGTAGTTGCCTTAAAGAGCTAGGGAAAACAAAAGTATGTTAAGTAGGTACAGTAATGAAATGCTACTTGATAAAAGTTTAAATAAACCAGAAGCTAGTAAGGTTGACTTACTAGACTGATCAAGTTTCCTGTTCGTATTTCATGGACTGGATTATAAAAATTAGGACTTGTTAGTACAATGACATAAAAACTGAGACAAAGTAAGCTTTCAACTGATCCACTACAAACTCAAGTGTTAACTAAAAAAAAAAAAAAGGCAAAAGACAATAAAGCTATTACCTTGGAATGTTGCTCTTTTAACTTTGTTATTATACTTGGATCATCCTTTTTGCTCGCCATAAGCAACCTAAACATCTGTTCTCTGTACTTGCTCATTATGAGTTCCAAAGCAGACTGATGTTCTTCAAGAGACGTGCGTAGTTCTACCAACATAATTTTAAATTCAGTTAAAATTTAACAGAGAAGAACTGAAACAAAATGCAAAAGTACTTTGGCTTGAGAAAACAAAAAAAAGCCCTTAACTGAGTGTCCCCCCTCCTTGCACCATAAAATCTATGTAGGCTCTTCAAACGTGTTCAGTGGTGACTGCCCTGGGAAAATTCTGGTTCAGTCAAAACCAGAAGGTCTTTTGTTAATATGACTTAATATTCAGTCCCTTTAGCTGATATAAGCCATCTTGAGTGTAGCTGAGGAGCTTTACTCCAGCCACTGTAAGCAACACTGTACAAAAACTGGAAAGAAGTTTACAGATCTTTTTAATCTGCAGCTTGGTAAAATGAGTTAAAAAATGCTTGTGTTCAAAATATACAAAGTCAAAGGACAAATAAATCCTAAAGACAAGATTCATACAAATGGAGATTATAGACTCCTTTGCTGACTACAATTTAGAATACTTGAGGTATGCCAGGAGGAACAGCATATTCCTAGCCTACAGAATTCCAGAAGGAATTATACTACTACATTTACACTACAGCTTGTCCTGACTGCTCTGGAATTAGTTATTTTTAGCAGTGGGAAAACACATTTCCAAATAGATACCTACATGGTAAGATGAAGTTATATCCATCTCTTCACTTGTGCTGAACATTAGATAAGGACTGAAAAAGTAATTTTCCACAACTCCCTCTTTTTGTTGTTCATAGTCCTAGTGATTGGACATTAGGACTCCTTATTGATTGCACTATGATCAGTTAAACTGATAAATTGAGATTAGAAGAAAAAATTCTTCTACAACAATTTTTTGAGAACAGATCAATGGTAAAAGTCTCACTGATTCCAGTGGTGCAGGGTAGAACTTATAAAGGATAGAGTATTAATGTTTTACCTTTATTTTCCTGTTGCAATTCCCTAATCTGTCTGTTTTCTTGTTGGATACCCATCACTAATGTAGACCGAGGACGATGTCTTGCTACTTCATTGAGCTCTTGAATTTCTTCTTGATACTAGTTATTAAAAAAACCAATCACCACAACACAATTGAGTAACTGAAGGCAAGCATTACTCAGCAAGTCACAAAGGACCAGTTCTAATCTCTGTCAAAGTGTCTAACCAGCAAGATAATGCTTGTTTTTAAATAATAATATGGAACAAACACACACTTCTGAAACTGTAGATAACATACTGCCCTTTAGACACAAAACTATCACCTTTGTTTTTAAATAAGTTTCATACCTCAGATGGGTGTAGCGGGCATTATTTAACCTTCAATTAATGCAGGTCAAATTCACCATCAAGTAATTTAAAACTGATATACACATAGTAAAGAGAAACCATAAGGTTTCTAGATATTTACTGTGGCTTCCCAATACCTTAAACCACAAGGTTGTATGAGTACAACTCACATGGACTTAATAGATCCTGACTCTCAACAGTACTCTTGATTTGAAGTTATGAAGCCTCCACATGACTGGTTTTACAGGGATGAAGCACATGCAGGGCTTTATTATTTTACAGGCCCATTAACACATCCTGTGTTCTATTAAAATGACGGGATGAACCCCCATATGGAAAGTCAATAGACACCTTTATGTTTTTCCAGGAGTTCTCCAGTGAAAGTCACGCTCAATTGAAAAACATTCCTTGAATAGCTTACCATCAGAATGGAAATTATCACGAATAAACTTAAGAGGCTACTTTGAAACAAAAGGAGACTATGAAAAGATGAAGTATTCTGTACAGAAGAAAGCATGACAGGGCCTCTGTATAACTAAATGTGCATCTTGAAATTAAACAAATAGTATTTCATAGAAGAGCAAAATACCACACAATAGTGTGTAAGATATCAACCCAATTTCTGCCAGTGTTCTTCAAATAAATGCTAGTTTTCAATATTTAAGCTAGAGTAATAGAGAAAACTTCTTCACAGGATCAAACTAAATATAGAAGCAACCTATTTTTAGATCATAGTCATAACTACAATGAAAATACTTAGTATGGTATTAAAGGATTAACCAAATAATATACTGATTCTACATCGTATAGTAGCACGCAAAAATTATTTTAAATTACGTGGTTCCGAGTTGTTCTTTTAATGGAGTAAACAAAGTTGCAAAACAAACCTGTTTCATTGCTTCAACCCGCTTGTTAAGAGCTGTAGTCTGTTCAATAAGAGCTTCTGCTGCGTTGTCATGTTCCCTTAGCCGTTCCACCAATGCTTTCGCATCTGCTAAGGCTTTTTCAATTGTACAACTCATTTCTAAAGATTAGAAATATATTATTTTCACAACAGCACCTGTTTGCTATATTGAGAACAGCTATCTCTTATAAAAACTTTTTTTTTTAATCTAAAGCAGATGAATACAACTTTCCCCTCAGAAACATCCAAACATTTTGTCTTTTAGGAGCACGGAAAATTTATATATCTTAAGAATACCCTAAAGTCTGCCTTTCCTTTTCCTCCTTTAAATTTGCTGTTGAGACCATGTATCAGAGCGAGGAAATGAAAGCAACCTTTGTGTGGTGAAGAGAGTATCAATATACTAAGTGCAAAAGGAGGACTACTGAACATATGGAAACTGAGCAGTGCATGTCCTTCTGTTAGCAGCAGAGAGAAAAAAAAATATTACATTATTCCATTTTTCAATACTACCTTTTTTTTTTTTCTAATGTGCCCTCCTACCAGTCAGATATACGTCAAGATATTTGAGAAGTAGAAATCCAGCACAAATAAGAATGCCAAAGGACTAGAGTGGGCTGGAAGATTTTGATTAATTAAATCAGCAGAGAAGGAACAGCTCAAACTGACAGAGTAGAGAAAATTATTTGGGGAAAATTCAGAAAGCCAAAGGCTTGTGTTTTCTTCATGTCTATAAATGAACACAAGCATCGCTGCATGGAATGAAATTGTAAAATTTTCAATGGGATAGAGGAAGACAGCAATTTAGCTAAGAAAAGGAACCAACTGCATAGTTAGAATACCAGCCTTCTAATTGCAGCAGTTGTTAGAAGAAATTACCTATTGCTAAACTTGGAAAATGCTTGTACATATTAACACTTTCAAAACACTGGCCTTTACATTGAATTTTTTCATACTCATTCTTGATAGATTAAGTTTCAAGACTGAGATTTTCAGTCCAAGTTTTTATTTTCTTTTAAGAAACCTTGCACTTTTTCTACTGAAAAGGAAATCTACTTTAACTCCTTGAATAGTTCTTCAGCAATCACACAGCAATATAAGAGGTTGTTTAGAGTTATGGGCCTTAATAATATAAGGTTTAATAGTTGTTTCAGGAAGCTCTCTGAGGTACTGAATCAACCAAATCCATTTCTTAGCCAGGCCATTTGCTAAAGGAAAGATTTTTATAGGCATAAAAGGTAAATGAGCCTTTCCCAAGCTACAGGAAAAAAAAAAAAAAAAATTGCTCCATGTTGATTTTCTAAGTTTCTTAGGTGTCTTGACAAATCATAGCCTAGGATCTTTTAAGCCAAGCTTAAAGAAATCCTCACATTTTCCCCAACTGGCATTTCCCCACTGTCTCAGGTAAGTAGTAGAAGTAAGGATATTTCAAACACCAGAAATTCCAAAGATTTACAAAAAGACTTACAAACATAGCAGGAATATCCTGCCCTCATTCATTAAGGCGAGGGAAAACTAAGCAAGACAGCAGCAGAATTTGGAATGTTGTCTCTGAAACACTCTTGTGCACCCAGAACTTCCTGTAAGGTTTAACCTCTCAAAAGCACTGTAATTTGGTAATTTCATGAGCTGCTCCCTCTGCTCTCAGGAACACATGTAATATGAAAGCATTTATTACTTTTCCTATCCAGGAGGGTCTTTCAGGGACCTGACCATCATAGAAAGACTTGCTTACTGGCAAAGGAGCTTCCGTAAGTGAGCCTGGTGAATGCACAGGGCACAACTGTTTTAACCTGGGTTCTTTGTGATTCACGTGTTATCGAAAGCATCAGCATTTTGACATGCACAACTTTCCCCTATACGCATTCGTAATGCTAATTCCTTCCTGTTTACCAACTAGAGTTTTCGTTTTAACTTCTATATGATGTATATATGTACTTGAGGTAACAAGTCAAGTTCTTCAGCAGACTGGTGTGTTATCACAGGTAGTTAATTTATTCACTCTGGTTTAGCAGTTTGAGCTCTTTTTAATATTATGTAGATAGGGATCATACTGCATTGCTTTTACAGATCCGCTTTTCTTGGTCCTCATTTCTCCTTCAGTTCTGGTCTCATGTTCTTACTGGATTACAAAAATATCAGACAAAAGATGACCTTCCACACTAGCTGGCTAAACTGTTACAGAAATTGATTTAATCAGATCCATATATAAGGAGAATTTGAAGGCTAGTCTTTAACTCAATTCATGGGTCATTAATTCTCTAACCAGTATAAACAAAGCCTCTCAGGCCTCTCTAAGAGCTTGGAATAGATTTGGCATTCAGACTACAATGTAGTTAACAGCTCTGATAATTTGTATATACCAATATAAACTTTTAAACACAGTACGTATTCCTCTTCCCATGCACTTTCTCATTTTGACCCAACCCAGCCAGTCAAGATAAAAAGAAACTTGTTTGTAGCAAAGCCACTGGCGTTCTTTTTCACAGTGAATGAGTTGGGGAAGACACGTGTGTGCCTTGCGCAGAATTGCAGCCACACAAATTCAGCAGTGACTATCCACCATCACTGTGCAGCAGCTTCAGCACGCCAGAGGCCATCTCCTGTTTTGAGGCAGGATTTGTACCTCAAAAAGGAGAATCACTATTGTATCATGGTAATTCACAGTGGCTCCAAATCTTGACTAGGGTTCCTTTGGGCAAGACACTGGCCCTAATCCTTGGAATTTAAAATTCTCTGTAGTTGCTCTTCTGTCTGTCTGTGAAAAACAAAACTTTTGTCTTATCCTAAAATACATCTAAATGTGCAAGTTAACCTGGACATTTAGGAGGAGAAAAAACAGTAAATCAAATAATTAATTGATTTAAACAAGCTCTTATTGTATATTAATTTTCTTATGAGTATGAGCACTATAGTAACTAAACTTAATGACTCTTGAACTCTGCCCTACAAGAGATACTCAGTTGCAAATGTATTTGTTAGTCTGCAATCTTACCAATGGGGTCAACAGGTAGCAGGAGTAACAACTCAAACAACATAGCAATAGTGCTACTACGTATTCATTTCCTGTCACTTCCTGCTATTTACTAATTGCTTATAGTATAAAATTTGTCTGCCCTTTAAAAAAAAATCAACACCAAAGAGAAAATATTTTTATGCTACTATAGCCTTCCTCTGCTTGTCTGTCTCTTCTTTCTTTTGTATCCTTACTGAAAACTACCTTTTCCCATAGCTGAATGCTTCAGGTTTTTTCCTCTCCGCAGTGACCAGTTTTGCAACGCTGACCCACGCTGCAGTTTTTAAAGAGTTGTAGGCTGCCTGCAAACGTCCATTAGCCCTCTGCCTGTAAAAGGAGAGTCCCACAGGCTGA